AAGTAAAAGGTTCACAAACAATCCCTTAACCGTTGAGATTGTTTGGTTCGTGCTTATGGCCTTGTACTAGAATATATCATTAGTAGTTAATGACGGATTCAGTATTTGAGCAAAATGATATCTGGTCTTATTTGCTTAATCCTCCATGAAATATGTTGTCATGAGATTTTTTTTCTCCTTTACTATTTATACTGATTTAGAGTTTGATTGTAAACCATGTTTGGATTTTGCAAATGAAAATTTTGTATTATGATTGATTCAATAGATATTTGACTGGATCGTTCTCATCGTTGTATGATTCATAATGAATTGTTCTAGCTCTAGAGAAAAAAATACTTTCACGAATACAATATATTTGGATCCTTATGAGTTATTGCATGATTGAATGCATTTGAAGTTTTTTTCACCAAAATAGCTTCCTCCATTAAGTAACTAGAAATCTTTACGCTTAGGAATAGATTGATGGGGTTGGGGGGCCCTGAAAATTTTTAAAGTGTCATATATTTTAGATATTTTCTTTGTATTTTCTATTAATAATTTTTTTTGTTCATAGAATCTTATAAGTTCGCTCCTGTAGAAATAAGGATTTAGAAACAGGAGATCAAAGCAATACTATGCATTTCTTGATTGATTAGAATATATATACGAGCCTCATTTAAATAGGTTGATTAAAAGTGTTTGAATGCAACTACAATTACTCCTACATAAGGTTCTATCCTATTTAGAAAATAAAAGGGTAAGTTATAGTTCATATAAACTACTAAATCAAATGTGATAGGGTTCTACTTAATCTAAACTACTAAATCAAATAGGATATAGTTCTAATTAATCTAAACTTTTAAATGAAAACTCCCCCTCAAGCTGAGTATATGTTTAACATTCTCATCTTGGATGAAAAATCATCTAGAACCGGTCTTGGAAGAGCTTTAGTAAGGATATCAACTAATTGATGCTTTGTAGGAACATAGTTGAGTTAAACTACTCCACTATCAACTTTTTTTTAGATAAAATGCCTATCTATCTTCACATGTTTAGTGTGATCATGTTGGACAAGATTCTTTGCAATACTGATAGCAGATTGACTATCAGTTTGTAACTTGAACTGTTTATGACCTTCTAATTTCAGTTCGGACAACATTCTTTGTAACCACATGCCCTCACAAAGTCCTAGTGCAACAGCTCGATATTCATCTTCTGCACTACTCCTTGAAACCATAGTCTGCTTCTTCTCCAAGTAACTAGGTTTCCCTGTACAAAGGCATAATGCCCACTCATTGATATTCCATTAGTGAGTTCACCTGCTCAGCTTGATTCAATGAAAACTTTATATGATCTTTTTTTCATTTTTTTAAATAACAAGCCCTGTCCTGGAGTTATCTTCAAATACTGTAAAATCATGAGTACTACATCAAGGTGTTCCTCTCTTGGGCTATTCATGTGCTAGCTAACAACACTAACCGAAAAAGAAATGTCAGGACGTGTTAAAGATAAATAAATCAGCTTACCCACCAAATGTTGGTATTACTCTTTGCTCATTGGAAAACTTTTATTATCTTTTCTTAACTTCAAGCTAGATTCCATTGGAGTCTCGACTGGTTTACATCCAAGCATACTAATTTCTGTCAAAAGATCGAGAATGTATTTCCTTTGATAGATAACTATCTCAGCCTTGGATCTTACTACTTCCAATTCCAAAAAAATACCTCAAGTTATCGAGGTCCTTAGTTTCAAACTTTTGGCTAAAAATTTTGAACTCTTTATTTCTTCAACATCATCTCTGGTGACTATTATGTCATCTACGTACACAGCCAAAACTATTCTTTTTCCGTTTTTATTTACCTTGATGAATAAAGGTAGGCCAATTTGACATTGCTTGTAGCTATTCCAATTATCACTTTGGAAAACCTTTCGAGCCAAGCCCTTGGAGATTTCTTTAAACTATACAACAATTTCTACAACTTACACACTTTGTGGGTTGTTGAGTCTTTCTTCTTTCCTGGAGGAATTTCCATGTATACTTCTTCACACAAATTTCCATTTAAGAAAGCATTCTTTATGTCGAATTGATGAAGTGGCAATAAGAAGGGATTCCCTTAAAAATATTTAGGAACATCAAAAGCAAACAAAAGAGACTTGGCTACTTTCAAAAGATGCTTACTTTTACACATGAAATAATACTAACAATACCCTATTCTTTAAAGTAAGACCAAGGACATTAGAGAAATATTCGCTCTCGGTTTTAAGAATATGAATCTTACTTTGGAATTGATTTTCAACCATGTTGTAAAATACTCTAAAAAGTTCAACAGCTTCTGATTTTTCCTTTATGAGAAAATCCAAGTTGTTCAACTATGGCCATCTATAAACGTTATAAACCACCTAGATCCATCAACATTTTTTACTTGAGAAGGACCCCATATATCACTATGGATTATGGAAAATGGGTGAGAAGATTTATAACTGAAGGGAGGATACTGTGTTTTGTGATGTTTGGCAAATTAGCAAGTGTCATAATGAAAAAGGTTAGCCTTTTTATTAATGAACAAAGTCACGTATAATTTGGTAAGAAAAAAGAAACTGGGATGTCCTAATCTTAAAATGCAATAACATAATCTCACTTGAAATAGGGTCGGAAAAAGGAAGAGTTCGAAATGCAACTGGAATAAGCTTGTTTTGGCGGAGAAGGAGAAGGAGAACCTCAAAGAATGTAGAGTCCACCAAACAACCTAGCACTGTTAATCGTCGTCCTCGAACAAGTACCTAAAACACACATCCATCGAGATAAAACTTAGTACAACATCCCAAGTTACGAGATAATTGACTAACATATAACACATTGCAAACTAATAGTGGAACATAAAGCAAAAAAATTAAAACATCCATATTGATCGGAATTGTTTCATTCCCTTCAATGGCTACCAATGAACCATTATTGTTTTTACAATGGACTTGGTCTCAAGAGTACTAAATTCTATAAACAAACGTAAATTGCTTGTCATTTGATCGGAGGCTCCACTGTCGAAAATCCAATGAAAAAATCATTATCAACGATATTAGCAAATGAAAGACTACCATCATTTGCAATAAAAACTTTTGTACATTAGGAGGGAAATATTAATGGGCATTTGAGATAGACCAACCCCTAAACTGACTTCAGAGACCATTGAATCAAGGATGAAAAAGGAAAATCGAAAACTTAAACTGATACCATGTATAAATTAAAGATTTATGAACAGAGATCAAATTGATACTCTAGATTTCTTGATTGATCAGAAGAAAAATACAAGCCTCGTTTAAATAGGTTGTGTAGAAGTGTTTGAATACAACTACAATTACTCCTAGACAAGGTTCTATCTTATTTAGAAAATAAAAGGATGAAGTTATAGTTAATATAAACTACTAAATCAAATAGGAGAGAGTTATAGTTAATATAAACTACTAAATCAAATAGGAGAGAGTTATAGTTAATATAAACTACTAAATCAAATAATTTACTGCTATTTTACACCTTATTATACTACAGCTCCCTTCAGAATTTCAAAAATTGAGGCCTTAACACAAAATCTTGCATTCATCTATACTTGCGTTGTGTTTTTTTCCTGTAGGAAACTCCTGGTATCAAATTGCCTTTATTCTGCTTTTACTTTTGGACTCAAAGGAGAGTTACTTATGGGATCTTGCTTTTTTCAAGGTAATTTGTCAAATAAAACCCCAAAATATTTAATTTTGGAGCTTAAAACAATATCTCATAGATTACAATTTCTAACATTATGAATCATTTAGTGGACAGTGTTTCTTAAATTCTCCGTTTTGATTGACATAACTTGTTTGTATGAAATAGTACCAAAATGAAAAAGGCATTGCTATGTAGTACTGATGTAGTGGTAAATACCATAATTTCCTTTTCATTTGGAGTGTTTAGTTCACAAAAAAGATTATTATCAGGACGAATAATCTTTTTCGAAATTTCATTCGTATATTTGGATAGCTTTTCTTTTTAAATGGCAGAAATTTCATTACTTCTATATTCTTAAGTATTAAACATTTCTATAATATTAAACAAAAATACTCCTAAGACTAAAAAATTCTTTTTATAACAATCCTTCTAAATTTATATTTTTTACTTTGCTAAAAATTATAAACATTATAATATATAAAGAATTTAATTTTGTAAAATATTAATAAATTTGATTATTTATAATTATTTTATATTTTTAATATTCAATATTTTAATTATTTGTAATTCTATGAGGTAAAAAATAATATCATTATAAAAATATAATTATTTAAAATAATATCTAAGTTTAAATTATTAAAAATAGACCTTATATATAAAAAATAATATTTTTTCACTCGAAACTATTATATTATTTTTTTCATATTTTATACTTATAAAAATTATTTAAAATATAAGTTTAATATACTATTAATTATTAATTTTTTTTCCAAAAGTTAGATAATATAATTATTAAAATATTTCTATAAATTTTTATTCAAATATTCATAATTTAATATTAAAATTTAACTTTTTTTAAAGAAACATATAACATAATAATAATCTGATAAAATACACAGTCAAATAATCTTTTATTTATCTAATTAAATAATGTAATTTTATATTCAGTAATATAACATTACGATAGTAATGTTGCATACTACATTCCATGAACTAATCACTCCCTTACATATCAATGATAATCGATGTGGACAGCATAGTTCCCCATAAGAGTTCTCCGCAGAGCCACCAATGGCAAATTGTATGGCAAAAGCAACCAATACGTTCATAAAGGGTCAAGACAAAAGTCTTATCTTTCCATACCCTTGTTATTCCTTCACTAGAATCTTTCTAAGTTATCCCCATCCTTCCATATCTACTTCTCACCTTTGATTTCAAGAAAACATCATAATAATATAAAACATAAGCTTCTGTCACTACCCCACCCTTTACATCCCTTTTTTGGTAATCCAAAAAGAAACAAGGCTTTTGTTTGAAATGGAACCCTATAATCAGTACCCATCATTGATTATCATATATAATTATGATCTAGAAGCAGGGGCCGGACTGAAGGGTCGATGACTAATCGGCATTGCTGCCCAAGGACTAAAAGGCAACTGCCGTTGTTGGTTCGGAATGGCTGAAGTAGGGGCCAGGACGGAGGAGGCAGCTGCCACAGAAGACGTCGTCATTGACGATGACGAAGAAGCCACCATGCGTTCGCAAGACGGGCACATAGTGAGTGTAGTGGGAGGGTTCATGTGCATGTAGAGCTGTGGGGAGAGTTTTAATGTTCTAAGATCTTGCACTTCCTTCTGCAATCTCCGGTTCTCCTCGTTCAGATTCTCGCAACATCGCTTGAGATACTCGCAATCAACATCCGTCTGCTTCAACTTTGTCCTGCAGCACCAATTGAATTTCCATGCATTTGAGAGATTTTATTCTGATTTAGATTCATAGACATCTTTTTACCATTTCTTTGCTTTAAACAAGTTTTCTACAATTGCAGCTCTTTTTTGCATTTAATGACAGCAAACTTAAATGTTAGGGAGTAAAACTCGACTCGACTAAGAGAATCAATCTTTTCAATTCTAATCGAAATAAATTTGAGTCGTAATTTTATAACTCGACTTGATAATAATCGAAAAATTTCAATTTTGAATTATAAGATAGAACTCGAATAACTCATAATTTAGTAATTAATATATTGATTTTTAAGTTTATGTCGAATTTCTTGACTTTGAATGATACATATATATAAAAAAATTATTTAAATTGAAATAAAATACGACCATAATATTATAAATATTTATAATTAAATTTAAACAAAAAATAAAATTCTTCAACTTAAATAACTCTAAAATATTACAAAAAAAAATCAACTCAACAATGCTCACCCCTAATCATTTTAACTCGACAGAGCTCACCTCTAATTGACATATTAGGGGAAATTTGAGTTTTAAATTTTTTATTATTAAATATTTTAAATATATATATTAAACAAAGTGAGGTTAATTTTTTTTATGGTGTCACTATTTTTAAAATGATGTCATTTTCATTTTTTTATATTATATATATAATTTATATAGAAAATTTTGTTTAAAAATATCTGGGGTATCATAGAATACAAGTTCGCCAGTGCCTTACACTAGGCACCTACTGAATCTATAGATTTGATATTGGGTTAACAGGTAAGCTGGTACTTTCATTTACTGCATAGGGTTTTTTTTTCTTACATGTGAACTCTATATTAGACTGCTCAATTTTCAAAAGTTTTATTTATGCTCATTAATCCCTTCGGCATGTAACAGTGAAAGCAACAGCAGAAGATTTTCTTGAGCCTATAAGGACACCTTATCCTAATCAGGCTATTTGTAACGGCTGTTTCAAGGCTTCAGAGATGGTTAATTGCCCTTTCAATAAAATCCCCAAAACACCCTTCACAAACTTTAAAAATATATCTAACCTGGCCCTTCTGTTCTGGAACCAAACCTCCACTTGCCTAGGTCTCAGATTCAAGTCCTTTGCCAGTGCCAACTTTTGCTTCTGGTAAAACCATACAACACAGAGATCAAATTACGAAACTGCCCTTAAAAGGTCATCCTATTGCCGCTGAAAATACCACTAACCGGATTAAGAGTGCTGTGTTCCTTGAAGGTCTCTTCGAGCAGCAAGGACTGTTTCTTCGAGAGCCTGAGCTTCTTTCTTGAGGCATCAACTGCAGCACCATTTTCTTCATCACTGGCCCGAGTGCAAGAAGCTCTCTCGGCCTCGGTTTCATCACCGGCGTTGTCTCTCTCGTTCCTCTTCCCACTTATGCTTGAGATGGTGCTGTTGGGAGACGACACCCCACCTTCCTCCTCGCAATCAACCGTTGTGGCTGCTCGGTTCACATCGATCCCTCTGAGAAACGACCTCGTATCAAATTTTCGATCTGCATGCATAGTTACGAATCATGACATTCATTTTACCACCCACAAAATGATGACTATGTTTTAAGGCTATCTGTGAACACGCAAGGAATTGCAACATAAAGATGGGAAGAGAAGATAAAACATCAGATCTGAAATGTGATAAAACAAGAGAGGTGTGAAGGGACAAAGAAAATACCAGAAAACCGAAAAAATTCATTCCAAGTGTTGTTGGGCTGGGGATTTTGCAAGCGGATTGAGGATAAAGGCATGGGATTTTGAGCACATCCCAAACTCAAACTCAACCCCAAGCCATCATCTTTCTCACCCATATCTCTTCTTATTCGTCTTGCAAAACCAACAAAAAAAAACTCACTTTTCCTTGGTAAAGCCGACCAAAGTTCTCAGCTTTTTCAGCTTCTCCTTTCTGGGTTTTGATTTTTCCCCTCCCTGGTGTGTTGGATTATGAGCAAAACGGAAGAAAAGAAGGGTAGATAATGTCTTGAGTTTCAGCAGGCAAAGGGGGCAGAAAGGATGGGACTTTATATACAGATATAACAGAGACAGATGGCTATAGAGTCAATCATACTTGTGTCATTCACCCTGTTGGCTCAATCATCATTATATATTGCTTTGCGTTTGGCACTTCTACCGAAAAATCACTCATGGACATAAAAAAAATATTTGCAAGACATCTTCTCCTCAAATATTATTGATAATAAAATCACATAAGAAAAGGCATAAATAACTATTTGTACCTTGATTAAATGTCTAACACATAAAAAAAACACTGATAATGATATGTGCCGTCTATTATACGTGTTTAATTATTAAATGCTTTATTATTATTTAAATTTAAAAATTTAATTTTTTAACGATCCCCCTCCATTACTACACTAAAGTTATTTACCTATTTCCACTTCTATCAATTTTTTATCAATTTAAATAGATTTTATTATTATTTTTATAAGATAAAACTATTTTTTATTATATTATATTTATTTTATATTCAATTATTTGAACAAATTTTTTTGTACTAATTATTTTGAATTATTTTTTATTATTTTTTATTGTTGTAAAATTGAAAGATGTGATCATACCTCAAGGCATTTTATCGATATGGTAATAATATGAAATTGTATTATTTAAATTATTGTGAAATTTTTAAATTTTTTTGGATTAGTTTATATTTTAATTCATATACTATTTATTTAATTAGGTGTATTTCAAGTATTTTTTTTTTTTAGATATAAGACTCCCAATCTTTCAAACTCTCAAAATGATGTGTATTTTCAACTATTGTTTATTATGATGGAGAAATTCGGGAAGATGAAACCGATATTGTCTTCGCATAAAATCATTCTGTCAGAATATCCTTCAAGAGAAGCATCACTCTTTAAGAGGATATCACTAAAATTTCAAGGAGGTTCATGTTGAAAGTACTAGAAGATTGTTCTCAATTCAGTACAGATTTTCCAACTGTAGTATTTTCGTTAACTTATATAGTGTTCGAACTCTTCAACGATGATGATGTTGCTATAATGGTTAATTCTCATAATCAATATTCAGACGCCGATACACAGATGTATGCGATATTTGTTGAAGTGAATGCGGTTCGTGGTGTATCACTATGCTCTCACTATGGGTTGACTCAACAAGTTCATCAAGTTGACAACTCAACTCAAGTAATGTGTAACGATTTTAATTCGTTAATGGAAAATCCATCATGGTGTCATCCCATCAAGATCAATGAGGAGACATTCATCAGTAACTTATTACAATTTGTACCGAGATGGCTCCACAAACAATTCGTATGGCAACATTACTTTCAGTTCAAGGGGAATACATTCATCTGCCAATTTCTTTGACATGAATATGGAGATGCTCTCGACGCAATAATTTGTAATACCCATTTGACACGATAACTTCAAGTTCTAGGGGGTGACATTCAAGTGTGAGCTTCTTCGACATCAATGTCGAGATGTCTTCAAGTTCAAGGGGAAGACATTTAACTACCAGCTTGTTCTACCTAAATGTTGGCATCGTGGAGGAACTCTCATCTCCACCAGAAAAACCTCTTTGTGAGCCAAGTACGGATAGTGCTGAGACTAGAATATTCGTTCTTCCACAATCACCGCAGTTCAACATAGACTCCGATGATAATGATGTAGATGAAGTTTCCACAAATATGGTACACACCGAACCTCCAGCACACATGTATGAAGCTGACTATGGAATAATATACGGGCCAAAATTTATGGATATGCATAATGTTGGTGACTACAAATTTAACTCTTCACTCAATGATGATGAGTTATATAAAGGAACGAAGTTTTCATCCAAAGAATAAACAATTATGACAATTAAGAATTACAACATTCGTAATTCTATTCAGTCCAGAGTCGACCGTTCCACCATCGAAAAGTATGTATGCCACTATGTCCAACGTAATAATGGATACAATTGGATGGTTCGTGTATCAAAGAGGAAGAATAAAAAATATATGGGAACTAACATTATAAAGTCTTCACACATGATGTGCTGGAGGGATCAATCAGGATCATCTCAAATTGGACTCCGACATTATCTGCCAAGACATCATGCCCATAGTCAAAGCAAGCTCTCATATAGATATTGCAGTGCTGATTTCAGCTATACAATCGCAATATGGGTATACCGTCTCATACAGGAAAGCATGGAAAGTAAAGTAGAATGACATTAAAAAGTTTCATGACGAGTGAGATGTATATTACAACGAACTACCAAGTTTGGTTTAGGGTAGTGTGCAGATTGAATCATGGGACAATGATGAGTGTTCAGAATCGTTAATCTTTGCTCGTTATTTCTTCAGTTTTGAGGAATTATTACTACTAAATTGGTCGTGTTATGTTTATTTTCGTACAGGGTCCTTACTTTCTAGAATTAGTGACAAAACAGGCGCATTCTGCATTTTTTATTATTTGGTCACGGCTGGAGACATGGGCACGACTCTGGGCATGACGCGGTTTGACGTGGCAGATTCTAGAAGGTCCATTGTATGCTCCATTGAAAAAAAATGTTGAATACGCCTTGAATAAAACACCTGTAAGGCATTGAGTTATAAGCATTAAGAATGATGAATGAATGGATATTACAATTGCACTTGACTTGTTCCAATTAGTGATATTCAATTGATTGATGTCTTGACTTGAATATTTCTTGTGGTCTCTACCTTGCTTTCCTTGAATGTGAAACTTGACAAAGAACGATAAATGAAATTTTTGACTAGTTTGATTAATCATACTTGAGGACAAGCATGAGATAAGTGAGGGGGAATTTGATGAGTGTTCATAATCGTTAATCTTTACTAGTTATTTCTTCGGTTTTGAGGAATTATCACTGCTAAATTGGTCGTGTTATGTTTGTTTTCATGCAGGTCCTTACTTTCCAGAATTAGTGACAAAACGGGCGCATTCTGCATTTTTTTATTATTTGGTCACGGCTGAAGACATGGGCACGACTCTGGGCATGACGCGGCCTGATGTGGCAGTTTCTAGAAGGTCCAATCAGTGACGGTTTCTAGAAGACTTCCTTCGTACGCCTTCTGGAAGATTGACGAGCAGAGTTGCATTAGGAGACTAGTTTAAGTTTGAATTTAAGTTAAAAATCAATTATCTTTAGAATTATTTTATTTGTTTTCTTTGTTTATCCTTTAGGCTTTGAGAGGCTATAAATATCCACTTGGGGTAAGCCTAAACTCATCATTCAGATTACATTCTTCTTTTCTCTTTAGTTTTTATAAAAGTTTTCTTTTTTTACTTTTCAAGTTCTTTTCATTTTTTTATTTTTCAAGCTTTGTTTTCAAAATGCTAAGTATGACTTTTTTCATGCTTAGCTAAACTTTTCATAAGCCGAAAGCTGTCGCGATGACTCAATTCCATCTGGAGAATTGAAACAGACCCTTAATATCTTCAGAATATCTCTCTCAATCTCTGCGCTTATTTTTCAAAATCAAAACAGTTTTCAAAATCAAAGATTGACTTTGGTTAAGAGGTTGTTGCGATTAAATGTGTGGGAGGAAGATTCGGCTTATAGAAAGCAATTCAACTTCCTGGGAACACACTTGGCAAGATAGCTTCACCAAGAGGGAATTGAGATTGGAATTGACGGTTATCAAAGCAACAATCCGAGTCGGACGCCATAAACTTAAAAGGTAATTGATCTACAACAATTGATGTTGTTAGAATCAATTACCGAAGTCGGAATCAAAGATTGTCTTTGGTATTCGGTATACAAGATAGAGTCACGGGGATAGCCCTTGTAGACAAAGTAATCGACGTGAATCCCGAAGAGAAAACCTTATTCGATGATCATAAGGAAATTGAGTCAAAGCGAAGCTTGAGGCTATTTTTACAGAATTTATTCACAATCTTCATCTTCTTATTTTTACTTTAATTACTTTACTTATTTAATCGCTTTTATTATTTTAATATTTTCTTACCAAAATTCCCCCCATTTTTACTGTTTCACGCTTGGCATAAATAAATCAGATAGAAATTTATAATTTTCTAAGTCCTTATGGAATCGACCCTTACTTCTCTTTACTACGTATTTCCTTTATTTATTGATTGAGAATAAGGAATTTATTTTAACATCCAAAATGGCAGTTTTCAAATTAGCGTCGTTGTCGGGAACTTTGTCAAAGTTACTAATTTTTGTTTTTTTATTTATGACCAGGTCTAATCCGGGAGCATTAGTGGAGTACGACCCGGAGATTGAAGCTAAAGCTAGGAGACACCACGTACAGACGCTTCGGGAAAGAAGAATACAACAAACAAATCCAGAAGAAGAATCAAATTCAGGTAATATAAATCCGATGGCCGATCTTATTATCCGGGAGTTAGCCACGGCTCCTACTGAGCAAGGGCCTATGTGCATTGATTTTCGCCAAGGCGAAACTCCGTACCAGTTGAAAACCAGTCTTATTCATCTCTTTCCTACATTCTACGGATTGCCAAACGAGGATCCACACAAGCATCTCAAGGAATTTCATATGGTCTGCTCCAGCATGAGACCACAGGGAGTAACCGAGGACCAAATAAAACTTAGAACTTTTCTTTTTTATTTTATCTTCCTCCTAATTCTGTTACTACATAGGCTCAAATGACTCGTCTTTTTCTTGACAGGTTTTTCCCTGCGACAAAAGTAAGTGAACTACGAAAGAGAATACTTGGAATCAAGAAGCTTGATGGAGAGTCACTTTACGACTACTGGGAGCAGTTTAAGAAGTTATGTTCTAGTTGCCTACAACATGGGTTAACCGAACAAACACTCCTTCAATACTTTTATGAAGGATTATCTCCCCTGGAAATGAAGATGATCGATGCTGCCAGCGGTGGAGCCTTGGTGAATATGACTCCTACTGAGGCTAGAGACTTAATGATAGGGAAGCGGTGGCGGATTGTTGAACGTTGCTCTTGTTGAATAATCAAACCTAGAAAGCTCTAGACTCGATGAAGAACAAATGTGATGAATATGGGAAGGT